GAATTGGGCTCAATATGAACATCAAAGATTGTCTTGAAAGGAAAAAATAACAGAGTATTATTTTTAGGTTATTATGGGAAGGAATGAAGGAATAAAGGAGCAGCCCTTCTTCTTTGTTTGGAGGCAAAGGAGAATTGACTGTCATGTGGATACCAGTATGGCCCTCCAAGAATTTTTACCTTTAGAGGTAAAAACTTCAGTAAGCCATCTCCATGAGTCCCAGCCCAGCTGCCAGGCAAATCATCAACTTGATACACTAGAAAAACAAATGGTTTCCAGAAGAGTTAGATCAAATTTGGAAACAATAAAATGGAAAAAAAAAAGTTACCATATGAAGGAAAAGAGGAAGCGCTGTGAACACTGGCACTCTCAGGATTGGGCCCACCAGGCCAGTTTTTGACTGATAAAGGACATTCAGTTCAGCAATTACTTACTGTGTCACTTCAAAGTGCCAGGCCCTGTGTAAGAAATTTTGTAGAGTTTAAGGAATAAGGCCTTGAGAAGTTTGCAGGATGATGAGGACAATTAAGAACAAGTAAGTACAATATCAATGGATAGGAGCCATCAAGTAGGCAGCGAATACAGTGAAGAAGGATTGACCTGGGCTTTATTCTGGTCCATCGTTAGATGTGTTTGTGATGATGCTGAGCAAACTTCTTATGACTCTAGGATTCAGTTTCCTCATCTATATAATAGGTACTTTGCAGGGATATTATACCTTGGAGGAATATTGCAACAGCAGGGAATGAATGTAAAATGGGTGACACATAATAGACTTTAATAATTAGTAACAATTTGATTTATTATTGTGTGCTGTTAGGCTCAGATGAGAAACAGTGAGAAACTGATTGGGAAGGTTGGCTTAGAGAAGACTTTGTGTATGACTGGTTGACGTTTTTCAGAGAATGGATAGTTTTATGTAAGCATGTGCAGTAAAATCCCAATGCCTCATTTCCTTCCTGTGGGAGCAGGAGACAGGCTCTCTCACTGTGAGTAGCTGGCCTGGGGCTGGGATGTCAAAGCTCAGAGGAAAAGAGAATGATTTTCAAATCAGCAGCATGTTTACGAACCTTGTGGTCAGGCAGAAGATGAGGGCCAAACCCATGGCAGAAAAATATGAAAGCAGATCCCAGCCCAGACACCCAGCTGGCTGGAGATCTAAGGGAACCCTGGGTAGCAGCCCTCATTGAAGAGCAGGACAGGGCAGGCTGGAAATGCTGATCTTTGGGCTCTTTCTACTTGCTTTTAGCTTAGTGATCGATAAAGGAGGTTATAGATCCTGAGTGGATTTGAGGTCCTCACAGAAAATTTATAGAATAATCACTATCCTCAAAAGAGTGAACCTGGAGTGGGGGGTATAGCTCAGTGCTAGAGCATTTGCCTAGCATATGCAAGGCCCTAGATTAGATAAAACAAAGAGTAAACCCTTCTGATGGACAGACCAGTGTACCAGGAACTGTCACAGGCTGAGGGCTAAGGTGAGAAGTTTGCTACTGTGAACTTATTTTAGCAGGAAAAAAAGAAAAATCACTCTAATTTCACCATCCAGATGTAACCACTATTCTTGGTGTGTTCCTTCCAGACTTTCTGCTCTGATGCAGATTGTGCATATACTCATGCTCACTGAAATAAAATAGGATCAATGTTTTATAGAATTCTTTCTCACTTAAGATGTCATTGCCTGTTTTTATTTTAGGTAATTTTAATGGCATAGTGTTTGATTATATGAATTTATGTAATTTCCTACTGTGGAACACTTATTTTTTATCTTTTTTTTTTTTTTGCTGTTATAAATATTCTTTCCTTCATCTTTTTTCCCCTTCCTCCTTGCCTCATGGTGGTTTTCTGTTTTGCAGTATTGCTGGGAGCCTGGTGTACTCGTACATCACTTTCACTGAGGAGCAGCTGAGCAAACAGTCAGAGGCCAGTAACAAGCTGGACATGAAGGGGAAAGGAGCAGTGTGACCAGAGGACTGCTCCAACTGCATGTGCCCAAGTTTCTAATCAACTCAGAACTCTGGCAGATGCCAAGATGATTACGAGAAAATGCCATTCCTTTTGCACTTGTACAATCCAAGGATTGATTGCTGCCTTTTGAAATTTTATGAGAGAAACTTATAATTGACTCAATTTTAAATATATTGTTTGAATTAATTTATATCAAACTGGAAAATGTACTGGGCTTTTTAATTTATTTTTCTTCTGTTCTGACAGTGAAACAGCAGTGTTTTGAAAATATTTTATTCCATAGTTTGATATCCAGGGGTCCCTGAGAGCTGCATATATAATGTGCTCCTACTGGAGCCTTATCATTCAAATCATTGCTGTGTCTGGAGTAGTTTGATCTTTCTTTTGCCAGAAATGCAGCCGATCTGAAATTTCTTTGAATTTTATTTCTTATTGATTGCATTGTCTTCATAAATATTATATTTGCCAAAGATAGCAACTTTGGTACTAAAAAAAAATACATGTTTTTTTGGAATGTATTGTTTTCCATGTTCACTTTCTTGAGAACTGATGGGATGAGCAGAGTGATTCCTTTAAAATGTTGTTCCCTCTCTGTTATGTAGAATGGGATAATGAAGGGATGGAGGAAGTAGGCATTGTACTCTTTACTCATCTATTTGACTCATTCATTCATCCAACTACAATGTACTGAGTGTATGTGTCAGGCATTGGGCTAAGTGCTGGACACCATTTGGGGAAGTAATTGGAAGATCTCCTTCCTGCCTTAGTGACTAAAGGGTAAGATGGAGAATTTAGTTCTTAGATCATTCAGAAGATTTTGGGATTATGAGTAAGTTGTTTCACCTCTCAGAAACTGCAGATGTGTAAATGGGGTTAAAATACCTGCCCTACCTATCCCACACAGTGTGAGTCCAAATGCTGCAATGTGACATTGAGGTGAAAAGCTGCATTGTGTAAACCAGCTCAGCTCAGGACTGACCCCTTGTCTACAAGGATGGCAGACAGGCAAGGTGATCACCACCTCTTTCCCTATGCCTGCCGCCTCTGAGTTTGGTTTCTCTTTTTACTTCTCAGATCAGTATGATGAGGTCCCACATTTGTCAATGACTGGTTTGAGAGGAAAAGCTGGTTGGGATTTTTGTATTGTCAGGGCTGGACCTTTCTTTGGCAGTGTCAGCGTTCCTTCCTTTTTAAATGGCATGAACGTACCTCTCCTTGGGTCTACCCACCTAGATGCTCTGTCTGCTGCATCCTGGGACAGGACCTGTGAAGGAACATTGCCTGAATTGCCTCATGGGGAAGTGTTAAACACAGTTCCATGGCTTGGCTCAGAGACATCCATTGACTGGAGAGGAGTGTGTTTGTCAGGCTGGTAGTACAGTCTGTACCAGAAGCTGGTACCTTTGCCCTACTGTACACACTAGTTTCTGTTTGAGTTTGGAAACTACTGGGCTCTGTTGACCTAAAACTATTAATATTTTGGTGTCTCAACAGGAGACTAGGAAAATTTTGATTTTTTTCTTTCTATTTGTAAAATTATATTGAACCCCACCATAGGCTCACTTTTTTCCAGGATCATCTGAACTAAAAAAATTCTAGTGCAAGAATATTGTGTCTTATTTATCTCTATTTTACTTATAGACAAACAGGAATCAGAGAAAATAGATGACTTGTTTATAAATCAAACTCCACATTTTTTTCCATTAAACCATGCTCCATTTGATTTAACAGCCTTTCCGTAAGGAAACAGGGATGCCAACTGAGTTAGCTTGAATTCTTTCAAAGAGGCAAGTGCTTGACTGAATTTGGTGTCAGAAAGAAATGGACTTTGCAAATTAGGGAGAAGGACAGGGTACCCTCTATCATGGAGCCTTTATTCAACCTCCAGGCTGATCTCAGTTGATATGTAGTTTAGGCTATGAATGTTGCCTATAACTGCCTGGTTTTGCTTCGATGCAATAGCTTAGCTAGAGATAATTTGAATAATTCTGTTCCTTCTGTCAGCCACGTGAAGGAGGTAACTTTGTTATTAGAAAGCCCTTTGGATATGTCAAGACTAGAACTCCTCCAGGGATTGAACTGCTTCTTGAGGATCAGGTTCCCTTAGAAGTCTGTCTCTTTTCCAGGTTAATTTGAGAAAATCATGTATAAGTAGAGCTCATGGAATGTACTACCTCAGAGCCCCTGTCTGTGTTGAACCTTCTGACTGACAGGAGCAGGTACAGCATCTTACAGCTTCTGCTCTGTCTGTGTTCTGATTTTGAGAGACCTCCTTCAGCTATTGCCACCATTTCAAGATAAGATAGAGTGGCATGGGTAAGTTTGAGATTGAATAGAGTGGCTGGCCACTTTTTGGAGCTTGTGGTTTTCTGGTATAATACAGTGTAGACATTTGCTCAATAATCTGGTGTCTCTCAGAATGTCTGGATTTTGTTCCAAGGTTGATGAGCAAAAATGCTTTGACCTATTAACTCCCTTCTGAAAGGATAAGAGGCAGTATAGAGTTAAATCCTTAGTTTGCCCACTAAGACAGATGAACTATGTTGAGAATTCTGAAAGGAGCTAATGGCTCCTCTCCTTGAGTTAATGAAGGTGAAGTCCTCTGGCCAATCTGCTTGTAGTAAATGTGACATAGATTAGAATAATCCTGGTTGCCTAGACTGCACATTGCTACCATGTCACTTAATTTTAATTGCTGCATGTGGCTGTCAACTATGAGTTAGTCGTTTGTAACATCCATCTTGCATTTAGATGAAAAAAAAATGCATTGGCAAATTTTCTGTAATCCTATCATATCAGAAATCCATGGGAGATTTCAATTGATAAAGCTGAGGTAGGTTCTTCACCCAAATAATGGAATTTCACATTTGATTGGCTTGGAAGAGTACCTAAGGCTTTGGGGCTGCCTTTGCTTTTTTTTTAATCATGGGCTTGTTCAGTGGGTGAATATTTGATTAAAAGCTGTTGTATATCAAGCATTTTGCTAAGCATCGGGGAATGGATGAATAGGACATGGGTCTCGCTGTCAAGGAGTATACAATTCTTTAGCTGAAGGTGGTGGCCTGGACCCAAATTGAGAGGGGAAACAGATAAAAGGAGTCAATGATTTGTGAACTAGAGCTGCATGCACAGTTACCAGGTCACTGTACTATGGTGCCCTTCCCATAGAGGAAAGCAACTTTTTAATCTGAGAGGTCTTTTGTAACTCAAATCAGTCTTCTAAGTTTGAGATAAGACAACTTTGAGAATTCTGTGCATAGCCTGGGTTCTTCTTCCTCAGCTGCTAATGTTCTTGCTTCCCCATAATTATGTAGTACTGTTTCCTGCTAACGAAAAAGGCTGTAATTGATTTTTCCCTCCCTGAGGAAAAATGTTTATAATAAATGAGATAATAAATATGAAATAACTTAATGCAGTGTCTAGTACCTATTAGGCACATAGAAAATGTGGCTACTGTCCCTATTTCATGATGGGATTATAGGCAAAACAAGGTTCTTAATTTGTGCTCCTTAAATGAAAGAGGCCTAGACAATGTATTTCCTGACCTTGGAATGTTTAGTTACCTATTTCTGTTCACTGTCTTTTCTTTTTTAAATAGCTGCTTGATATAATTGTAACCATTGTGTGATGCAGGTGATTCTGTTTAAAAAAAAAAAAAAAGTTACTTTCATAGTATGATGGTAAATTTCAAAAAAGGAAAGCTATTTTCTATATCAGAGGAAGATCATTACATTTCATAATGGTAATTCAGTTAAAACTTCCTCAGTTTGTCACTTAACTCTACGGCCAGACGGTCTTCCTTCCCTTCTCAGAATGAATGCCCTTGACTGTGTGCTGCCTCTGCTCCCAGGCATGAGCTGTTGGCATATGTGCATCCCTGGCGCTCGTACCTCTGTTTTCTAAACCCGTCTTCCAGTTTTTAGTGTCAGGATGCTTTGGTGTTTGTTTTGATGTCATTGTTTGTATGTTTTGTTTTTTAGCTTTGTTTATAATTAAAAATACTTTTTAAAAAGAAATCTACTGGCTAGATTTATTGTTTCAGAAAACTGTTTTTAGAAATTATTTTGTTCACAAATATTTTCTTTCTCATGCTGATGATCAACTAATTTTTGTCTAAAAATGTTAGCCTTTCATAATATTTTTTCAATATAGATTCTATTGACCGATTTATTTAGTGTTTTTAAAAGGTTCTGAGGATTGAGTTATGTAAATCAGGTGACGTAAACATGAAAATTATGTACCTAAATATTTTTGTAATGGTGTCAAATAAATACTTTTTCCTGAAAACATGCATTAAGATTTCTTTCTAAATGTGTAAAGAGGATAATCAAGAGCCAGAAGTCTACTCATATTTAAGAGGGATAGCATCCAGTTAGTTGATTGAGACTAGTAACAGGAAAAATAATTTTCCCCCTACTAATGCTTTGAAAAATTGTACATATTATTAAATATCCAGTGTCTTTGACATAACTGTGGTGAATTTGAAGAAATGATAACCTGCTTTCAGGATATTTCATTTACATAATCAGGTTTCTTAGCCTCTGAGCAGCTTTATTAATTAATAACTCAAATAAAATATGCTCTGCAAGGAGAATCATTTTAGCACAGGTGGACTCAACAGAGCAGACATACATTAAGGCCTGTCAGAGGGCGGAGCACATAAAGGCAATTAAAAAAAACTATCTTCACCACTTCAAGTGTGTAGTTCACCAGTGTTAAGTATATGCACATTGTTGTGCAACTACTCTCCAGAATTTTTTCACTTGCTAAACTGAAACTATATCCATTAAACAAAAACTTCCCATTTTCTCCTTCCCCCAGACTTGATAACTAACACTATTTCTCTGAACTTGACCACTCTGTACCATATGTAAGTGAACTCATATAATAGTATTTTTGTGACTGGTTTGTTTCCCTTAGTATAGTGTACTGAAGAGTTATCCACATAGCACACGTCAAATTTTCCTTCTCTTTTAAAGCTGAATAATATTTTGTTTACCTGTTGATGGATACTTGGGTTACCTCTTGGCTATTGTGAATAATATTTCTATGAACATGGGTCTTCAAAAATCTTTTCAAGATCCCACTTTCAGTTCTTTTGGATATGTTCCTAGAACTGGAATTGCTGGATCATGTAGTAATTTTATTTTTACTTTTTTGAGAAACAACCATTTTACATTCTCACCAATTGCATAAGGGTTCTGACTTCTCCACATTTTAACACTTGTTACTTCCTGCTTTTTAGACAGTACTGATCCTTATGGGTGTGAGATGATAATCTCATTATGATTTTGATTGTATTTCCCAGAGGATTAGTGATGTTGAACATCTTTTGATATGTTTGTTGGATATTTATATATCTTCTTTGAAGAGATGTCTATTCAAAGCCTTTTTCTATTTTTTGATCAGACTGATTCTTTGTTGAGTAGTAGATCTATAAATATTCTACATTTAAGCCCCTAATCAGATATATTATTTGCAAACGCTTCCCATTCCATAAGTTGCCTTTTCACTGTTGATTATATCCTTTGATGCACAGATTTTGATGTAGTCCATTTTATCTACTTTTACTTGTTTGTGCTTTTGGTAGCATAACCAAGAAATCATTGCTAAACCCTGTGTCATGAAGCTTTTCATGTTTTGTTCTAAGATTTTTGTAACTTTAGGTCTTATGTTTAGGTCTTGGACACATTTTAAGTTTTGTATGTGGTGTCAAGTAGGGGCCCTACTTTACGCTTTTGCATGTGGATATACTCACTTTTGTTGAAGAGATTGTTCTAAAGGCATGCATTTCAATCAACTTTTAAAAATCTCTAGTTTGACTTTTGTTTCTAATTTGTTAAAGATACATTTTTTTTTTTTTCCATTTAGCCTTTGCTGGTTTCTTGTAAAGCAATTTATGGGGGAACACTAGACAAAGCACTGCTGAGAAGAGCAGAACAGAGCTGGTAATGTTATGTACCCACCAGAGGTGGGCAGTTGCCAAGTACCCATAGTTTGGGAAGGCGCGAGTGGGAAGTTTATCCATTTGTCCATCCATCCATCAAGTCACAACCACATTTTATAGATAAAGTTCAGGGAGGTACAGTTGTCTTTGTGTTGTGAAACTCAAACCTTATCAGTCTGACTTCACTGACTTCATACATCTTTGTTCTTCACAAATCATGCCAGATTCTTAATTCTTCTAGTGCACCTTTAGTAGGCTTAATGTTACCAAGCTCTTCACTGTTACATGCTTATCAGATGCCATTCATTTAGTGTTCATACCCCATAGATGTAAAGCTTAAGCATAAAGTGGCAATTGGTTGAATCGGAAAAGGCAGCCATTCCTTTCCAGATGTTTTCATGGCGCCCTCTTGTGGCAATAGTTGTCCTTAGGGCATAAATCGTTTGCTTAGAGGGAAGGAGGGCCAACTATGTTCTTTCACTGGGTTAGCCCTAAAACATGCTTTTTGCGGTATTTGGTCCTTACTCTAGTTTACTGAAATACAGAGGGATTAAACAGGCTAAGAGATTTGTTCAGCTTCACCCGAGAAATTTAAATCCGGACTTTGATTCCAAAACCCTTTCCTTAGAGTACATTCCAGGTTACATTCCTATGTTAAAAGAATTCGATAGTAGGATTTATTTAAGAATGTCTTATGTTAGCTTATCCTTATTTATTTTTTCAGTGAATATTTTTGAGGATGATGTTTACAAATAATGCAAAAATCATGAATGTGTATCTGAGCTATATCTAAGAACATATGGGAGAATTTCATTCTTTCCTATGGAAATGGCATTTGAGGTGATTCCTGAAGTAAAACTAAAATTTGAGAAGGTATTGGAGGAGATAACCCAATGTTCTGGGGCCTCTACTACCTACTTCTCCCTGTCTGGAATGCATCCTCCCTTGGTGTCTTTAGGGTGCACGCTCTCCTTGCTGGGGGTCTTTCCTGACCAGCCTGGTAAGTTTAGCTTAGTGTAGAACACTTGCCTAGCATTCATGAGACCAAGTTCCATCCCCAGCACTGGCAGAAAAACAATTGCCCTTGGCCTGGGTTTCATATCACACACACACACACACACACACACCAAGTGAAATGGCAACCTGCTTTTGCCACAATCCCTTTTCTCCTCCCTCCCTTGCATTATCTCCATAGCACTTGTCTCTAACCAAATTTAAGCTTTATGAAGGCAGAGATTTGAGTCTGGTTGTTCTTTGGGTTACCCCCAACACCTAGAACAGTGCTTAGCACGCTGATACACTATAATATTTGCTTAATGAAAATTCTAAACAGTAGTTGGTTAAAAGCTACATTTTTTTGAAAACAGCAAGAATGAAACAGATCCTCACTTGCATTTTAGAAAGATTAAACCAGACACAGTATTTGGGTTGTACACTGAAGTCAGAGATTGGAAAGGTTAAATGCCTCACAGGGGCAGGCAGGAGTGTGGGTCCAAATGAGTGCAGTCAATAAATACAATAGTGAGTGAGTGGTAGGATTTATGGTTGCACACCTGTTCAAAGGAATTGAAATAAAACAACAACAACAACAACAAAAATCTGCCAGGAAGATTTGGCTCTCTGGCTACCTGTGTGACTAAGTTGAGGAACTGTTCTAGATCAGATCTGCATTGTAACAGAATCACCAGGAATGCTGAGTGCTACAGGGTGGGGGTGGGGAGCATGGAAGGGCAGGACTGGAACTAAGTGTCCCAGATAGAAAAGGCTGCTTTCCAAGCGAGAAGTCCTAAAGTGTAGTCGTGAAAGCACAAAAGACAAAAAGGATTTAAATTCTTTTCTGAGGTAGAATTAACAGGTGACAAGTCTGTTTTTTTTTTTTTTTTTTTTTCCGTTTTTAAGTGATGATGAAGCTGCTTAAAACAAGCAGGGAAATGTAATGTTTATGAAAAAAAATGTCATATTACTTATTTTTATAAATCAAATTAAATCTGAGTCCCCAATGTGGGCCACCTAACAGGGGGTTCAATTTCAGTCCTTCCCTAAAGTTATACAAGATCCAGGGAAATAGTCTGGTCCCTGGAAAATACAAGAGGGACTTTGTTGTCTTCATTCCAGTGTAGTCACTGTTGAACTCCATAGCAATGGACCCTGAGGTGTCCTTTGAAGACAAACAGCACTGCAGATTCTCAATTTTGGCCTGGGTAGTAGTTTCTATAACTGAAGTTCAGTGGCCTGGAGTCCAGCCTGTCTTGCACCCCATTCCTCTTATTTCTCAATAGAGTGAGGTTCACATCCCTATTCTCAGAGCATACTGATTTATGTTCATCTTCCCCTGCACCCATCTTGAGGGAATTTCCTTTCTCTAGGACTGACTTGTGGGGAAAGAGCTAGGAGAGTGGTTTGATTGCAAGCAGCAGGTTTTCTATCCTACAATACACTTATGTGAACACAAAGACTTAGGAAAATAGGTGAACAAAATTCAGATCACTGGAAAGAATTTTTCAACTTCTCATAGCTCAGTTTTCCTCATTTGGAAACACTGTTGTGAAGATTGGTTTAGATACACGTGTTCAGCACAGTGCTTGTAACAGTGACCACTTAATAATGTAGACCTTTGCCATGTTTTATCTCCGTAATTATCCTTCTCTGACTAGCACATGTTCCTTTTGAGGAAATGACTCTTCCACAGCTCATCTAGCCAAATGACTCGAGAGAGCTGCCATTTTAGGATGAAGACTGAACTGCATAGCCACAGTGACAGAGCTGCTAATGGTACCCCGTTCCCTTGCCATAGGTACCTATTGGGCAAGGGCTGAGCACATGTCCCTAGCCATGAATACATATAAACTATTAAGTGCTGGGAAGGAAAACGATAGGGGGATTTGAGTGTCTAAGAAGCTGAATCTAAGGTTATTGAACATTGGACAAGGCTGTTTTCCCATTTTAGGCCTTGATTTTTCCCTTCTATAAAATGAAAGGACTGCTATGGGGCTCCAGAGGCCCACATCTCAACTTCACAGGCTGTTTACAGGATTCCTGTTGGCCCTGCAGAAGGGTCAGAGAGTGCAAGATTCTGTTGTAGCTGCTGTACATGTCTAAGTACACCTGCTAGTTTTCTTACCACTTTGTCACTCACATAGAAAGTAAAGATAGTTCCAAGAAATTGCCAACTGAATGCTAGCAGAAATTTGGAGGCTACTTTTATGGTTTTGGTATGAGCTGTTCCAAAACAGAGCGCTCACGTGACAATGCAAGTAAATGTTCAGAGGTGAAATGATGAGATTATGAGAGCTGTAAATATGTGGGTCTAGTCAATTAAATGGATTGATAATTCGAATGG